CCCCAAAACCCCAAAACCCCAAAACCCCAAAACCCCAAAACCCCTTAAGTGGAAAATTTAAATGAAATTATAAAAATGTCAGGTTTAAAACTACGGTGGAAATCAGACTTTGACAAGCAATGAATCATCCATAACTTCGAGAAGAGAGGCTGGACACGATGCACAAATGATGATGACTGGCATATTTACTGGGCAAATGTGTGGAACGTCAAACAGATCTTCAACCCTGACACTGGCCATAGGCTAGGAGAGACCCAGTTGCTTAATCATTTCCCCAATCATTATGAACTTACGAGAAAAGATTTGATGGTGAAGAACATCAAACGTTTCAAAAAGGATATGGAGAAAGAGAACAATCCAATCGCTGCTAAGGATAAAGATGGAAATTACCTCTATCTTGACATCATTCCTACAACCTATATACTCCCAGGTGATTATACTCTTTTCGTAGAAGAATTTAGGAAAAACAAGAGTGCAATGTGGATCATGAAACCCTGTGGAAGAGCGCAAGGAAAAGGAATCTTTTTAGTCAATAAACTCAACCAGCTGAAGAAATGGGCAACATGCTCAAAGCTGCCATTCCAGACCTTGTCTTTGAAGGAATCTTATGTCATCTCGAGATACATCGAGAATCCACTTCTGATTGGGGGTAGGAAATTCGACCTGAGGCTTTACGTTCTCGTTACAAGTTACAGACCTTTAAAGATATGGTGGTATAATACAGGATTCGCAAGGTTCTGTAATGAGAAATATACGGCAGATATTGCTGAGCTTGACAACATGACCATTCATCTTACAAATGTGGCTATTCAGAAACAATCAGATGAATATAACGATAAGCATGGAGGAAAATGGAGTACGAATAACTTGAGATTTTATCTTGAAATGACTCATGGTAAAGGCCCCACAGACAAATGCTTTGATGACATCTTTAACATAGTAACAGTATCACTAAAGAGCGTTACCAGTGTAATGATCAACGACAAGCATTGCTTTGAATGCTATGGATATGATGTTCTAATCGATGACAATCTGAGACCAACACTAATCGAGGTGAACGCTTCACCCTCTCTGACCTCAACTTCCGAAGGAGATAGAGTTTTAAAGATGGGTCTTCTTAATGATGCGTTCAATATAATAGTCCCTCCAGACTGGCTTGATGATTCAAGCAAGCATGGATCCAATACTTGTAGAGAGAAAACCGTTGGAGGATTTTCCCTGCTACTTGATGAAGGTGCAGGAGAAGATAGATCAAAGAAGAATAGTAAAAAGACTCCAGGAACTGCTCTATGGAGATAGATTAAATGCCATAATTCTTCTTCAATGAAGTTCAAAATTTTAGGGGTTTTGGGGTTTTGGGGTTTTGGGGTTTTGGGG